AGGCCCTAGGCTTTTTCGAAGCCTTGTTCAACTTAGGCGCCTGGAACTGGAGAAGCAGATCCGAAAGTTCCTGTGTTCTGGACTCGGCAGACACTGAGTATGGGAAAGATGAGGGAACAAAGGCTTCACCTATTTCACTTCTTAGGTGTTGAAAGGGGATGAACTAGACTATAGATTGCGAGAAAGCTAACTTGATTAGGGCCTAGGACTCAGAAACAGATGGCAGAATTCAAGAATCCATTAGCACGCTGCGTGAACATATGCGAGATACTATAAGACAACCTAAAGGAAAAGAGGGAAACACAAGTACAGGGTGTGATTGTTGATTGTTACAATTTGCAGTACTGTATGATATGATAGTATGTTCACGATCGTGTGATAAAGGTTCGTATCCCATGGAGGCGCCTCATTGTTGTTTCAACCCCCCTCAGTGCATAGCGCTTGTGGAACCTTTTTATAACCTTTAAATGACCCATATCATACCAGCAGACTCTTAGACCATCTGACATAGGAGTCCATCTATCTATATCCATCTATATTGGATATATATTTATATATTGGTTGAATAATTGAACAATGACCTCGATGGGGAATGGCCACAGCCCAGTTATTGGCCACGAACACCGAACACCGAACACCTGTCGAGCGATCCAACTACCAAGGCCTACACCTCTTGGGTGATGCCGCCTGTGAAGTTCGCCTGAGGTGCGGCGGAGGGTGATTGTGTCCCAAGGACTACAACGTGGGATGCTCGTCTTCGCCATGGTATGCCTTTTGCGTAGGCACCGTAACTGAATTTGTCTACGGCCATAATTTCAGTGTCCGCCATCGAACGCCATCGAACCGTCCAAAGCGTGCATGATTATGATTGTCGCAACTGATGAATATGATGAGGCACATTGAAGAACAGACGCCATGTGATGGGGCACCTTTGCTGCGCAGCAACTTCTGCGATGCCATGTCGAGGGTAGGACGACTCAACATGGACTACAGCTTCGGTTCGACAGCTGACGTGTCTCTGTAACCACTTTCTATCGTGTCTCTGCCGACGATTTCCAAAGCTTGCTCATGGGGTGTCATCGACTTTTTGAGGCTGCATACTATTGACAAGAAGCAGTATTGTATGTACTCTTTGAGGGCTGACCACACTCATTGGGAACCCCGAGGATATTACACAATCAATGTGCATAGAGCTTTGTTGCCTTCACAGAAGTATACAGAAGTTGGTGGGTTGATATGGCGCAAGGCAGAGGAAGGGGGAACTTGGAACATGTTTTGTTTTGTGGCGCGTTCCCCACCCTTGTGGGCATGACAAATTGTGTGCTTCCCAGGATGTGCGCAAATACTTCTATAGTGACAGCCTCCGAGTTCGAACGACTCCACCCACAGCCAAGATTTTTGAGGTCTGAGGGCTGTGACTCAAGCAAAAACCAATTTCGATATGGGGCACATTGAATTAGATAAATTTCGCAACTGTTCCCAAGTTGACCAAGGCAGTGGTTTGTGTCGGAGTCCTGTGTGGCACGTGTCCGATGCGGTGAGGATCAACTTGGTACGGCCTTCGGATGCACAGCAGGACTGAAACTTCCAACGCAGCACAAGGATAGAGGCTGCACAGGAAAAACATGGATACAGCATGATACTGCAAATTCCCTTCATGAGTTATCTTTTTTTTATTCTTGTGCCTCCTGAAGGAAGAACTGAAGAGGAACTTGACAGTTTTGTAAGGGACATTTCAAAGTGGTTTGTTTCATTTTGAAGCCGTGGCTCCATTTGCAGGGTTCCACAGAGGACCAATGACCCACAGTGCGATTCACAAGGCTTCGGAACAAAGATGAACAAAGGCATGTGGAAAAACAACAAAACAACTATTGTCCATTTGTCTCATTCATGTGTGTTTTCCTAAAGTCCTAAAGTATCCTGACATGGGAACAGTGAACTAATATAGTAGGCGTTGGACATCACAAGCAGATTACAGTCATACTGGCGACTCTGTCAGCTGTTCCACAATATATACTCTATATATATATATATCAATATCAATATCAATATATATATATATATCAATACAATATATATATAATATTATACATATACCAGTGGCCTCAAAACCGCAAAATATAGGTGTTCATATACGTTATTTTGAAGGGAAAACCAGTTTATCCAGGTTGTTGATGGTTTGTGGGGCCCCATTCATATACATTATATATACTGTATACACATACATATGACATCCTATGAACTAGGCAACAAGTTGATTTTAGGCGCTAGGAATGCCATGTCACGCCTCGTTGCCTGAGGAAGTTCTCTCAGAATATCGTTTCGCTCCTTTGCCAGGGATGTCCGGGTGCCGAGGAATCAGAGCCTTTCAACAGAGGGAATGGCGCAGGGACATGGCCGGAGAGGAGGAAGAGGAGGGAGTGAGGCCCAGGGAGGAGCGCACAAGTTGTAAACGATAGTTTGTAGGGACTCTGCCTAGCAAGTTTCCCTCTAAAAGATGTGTTTTCTTACATGGCATTGATTGATTTGGAGTTTGGGATGCTGAGCCATGCCTTTGAGTTTTTATGTCAAATACATTTAAATAGTTTAAATACACGTTTGTGGGGTCCGGGTTTGATTTGTTGATGTGGAGATTGAACATGATTGAACTGTTTGATGATCAATCTCTGTTGCTTCTCACCCTGGGCCGGTGCCCAAAACCCAAACCCTCAGCCTCAGAGGCCTGACATTTGGTGTCGTGCTGGTGCCCAGCCGGTGATGTTTGTGCCGCCCAATGGGATCTGTTGGCTTTCCAAGGAGCTCCACACTAGAAAAGGAAAAGTCTGGAGTACGCCAAGCCCATATTCGGAAACACAGTGAAAGAACGAAGCATTCTACAGCGCAGCACTAGCAAGTGGGTAAGATGCGTCGTTCGGACGTCCAGAGATGGTCCAAATTTCTCGGACGTCCATAGGCTTTGTGTCCGTGTTGAAGAAGGCAAGGATTTGATCAGCATTTACTAGTGTTGATTTCACCATATTTCACCCGAACACTATACCTATCATGATCACGAGGTAGCTTCAGCTACCTTACAGATCCTTACAGTAGTTTTCCTTGCTTTAGCAAACATGTATACATTACAATCTGGAGATTGCACTGTGCATTGAGTTTGGCTCTCTGAGACAAGGTTCTTGGGGGGGTTGCAACACCTTGGTTTGGATGCAAGTCTTGTACTGAGCAGCAACACATTGTTGTTGCCCTTGCTGCTCCTGCTGCTGCTGCTGCTCTTGCCCTTGCTGCTCTTGCTCTTGCTCTTGCCGTTACTTTTCCTGCTGCTCTTGCTCTACTACTGCTCTTGGTGCTGCTCTTCCTGTTGGCCTTGCTGTTCTAGCTGGTGCTCTTGCTGCTGCTGCTGCTGCTGCTCTTCTTGTACCAAATCCCTTCTAGTCCTTTAGGCCCCCCACCTCAAGACTCACCTTTTGGGGGGCGCCAGCTTTTCCAACCGTCTCTCACGCACACAACCCTGACATATGTTGGCTACCTTTCATTCACCCCTTCCTCTCTCAAGTATAGACTCTTGATTGATAAGACCCCCCATGGGGATTGTAAAACCTCTTCATAGATTTATAGGGGGTGACATGTAGCCATCTCGATTGATAGAGTGAGTGTTGCTTCGATAAGAGCTGTGAAGCTCCCTCACTGACGAGTCAGACGAGTCGGGACATCTTCAGCACAGACACTATATATATATATATGCAGATCTTTCATGTGCGGATTTGGAGTAACTGGCACTCTGCGTTTCGCCAGTAAACTGAGGGGTATGCAGATGAATGGCTATCCGCCAACGAATCAACGATCCCTCAAAAGGACTGGAATGTCCACGTAGAACATGTAGAACGCCCGTCCCTTCGCCCAGGGGTCGAAATGGCACCGCTGCATCTCAAGCTGCGACCTCGGTCGAGACAATTGTAGCCACAAGCCAAGGCTCCATGGACGTTGAGACAACATCAGACCTATACTAGTACCTATACTATATATATATGTCATATAGGACCTGCCCAGTGACCTCTTCACAATTGGCAAGTGACCTTTTTCAAGACCTAAGTGACCTCATTCTGGGATCTCAAAAGGCCACTGGGAAGGTCCTGGCAGCAGTGAGACTCGTTCAACATATTTTTGGAATTATATAGATCAATGACAATGACTATAGAAACAGCAGATCCTTTGGTTTCGGCAACGACCTGGGGCACTTCTTGAAATCGGCTTTTGCGACTTGCATGGACACAGGGAGGGTTGCTGAAAAGCTTATCAAATATCCAGAAGGCTCGCGGAGGATTGGCCATGCATGTGTTGGCCTTTCAACCTATTGTGTTAGTATCACTGTGTCATTTGAATGCATGAATCACAGTATGAATCACCTCTCCTATGGATACATGCCTTATTGGCGAAACTGATCGATTGATCTTGGTTCGTTGTACATGGTTTTTGCGTGTATGAGTTCAAGGAGCATGTGCCTGCTGGACTGGAGCAAGATAAGATTCACGTCTCAAAGGATATCTGTAGTGATTTGAATGGTTTTCAAGCATATATTTAGGAACATGCCGCCCTTAGACGTGTTCTTCACTAATGGCACTCATTTAGTGCATGTGTTTCTGTTCCACAGCTTTCTTGCAATTGCTCGTCACTGAGGCTATCAACCTAGCTCGCTTGCGCCGTTCAAAATGCTATGTGCAGGGAGATTGGCCAAGGGTTTCAATTAGATTGCTATCGAGTCCTCCGCAGATACGGTCCACAGTGCTATAGAAGACCACGAGACCGGGGACATCTGGAGTGTGTAGCCATGAACGCGCCCGGCCCGTGCAACCATGCGTAAACTAAGTATCATGCACAAAACAATTGGTGTAAGTACGGGTCTACCGCACCGCCAAGTGTTCACAAGCGGGTTCCTTCACCAGCGAGATGACCATGCTGCATGGCCGAAGCATGCTGTAGCCGTACCGTGAAGATGAGACACCTGAGAGGCACTGAAGACATGAAGTTCGGGGATGGCGCCACCCTTGAGGCTCGCAGATGGGAATCTTCCCGGAAGAGCAAGTGGTGCCACCCTTGACTAATGCTTTTTTTAATGGCCGACCTGACCTCCCCCGTCATACTGTGGGCATGACCTTCAACCTAATAGCAATGGTTGTAACATGTTGTAATCTGTGTTAATCAATCTTTGCGAATCCAGCCAAATATCTTCTTCCATGATTTTTGATTGCACAGTCTGTGGAGCTCCATCACGCTGCCGCAACTTCACTGCTAGGTGATGCATGAAGCCTACGGCGATGCCAAGTTTTGCTTCGTCCCACGAGGCAGTCGTTTTTCTCGGTGCTGTGTGGTGCCGTTGGTGGGTAACGAGCGACCAGTGGAAGCGGCAGCGACGAGTTTTGGGGTCACCGTGGTGTGCGGGAGCTCTTCACCGCTGGAGGGCCTGAAATCGCCTGTTTTCGCATGGATGCAAGTGACAGGAGGAAGTGGCTTAATCTATGTTGAAGTTCAGCTTACACCGAGTGCGATCAACACATTCACAAGCCGGTGGACGAGCCAGTGGCCTAGGCAAGGGGTAGTCGGGCCCATCACCTCAACATGATGGCTAATGAGCTAAATCACTCTTTGGTTGCGAAACACGGCCACCCAACTTGTGAGTGTCAGGGTTCAGAGGCTTCTAGCCTGAGAGGTAGGGTAGGGCTTCTAGGCCGGCAACGACCCCCAATTTTTGGGGGTTGGATTTCCGCTTCCGCCGTTGGTTTGGCCGCTGAAGGATGTTTCGACCGGAGGACCTGGTTCTAGAGAGGAAGCCTCAAAAACTCGAAGGAAGGATGATTCCACATACTCGTAAGGGGTTTTCCCATGGCACCGGATGGCCCATCAAGATCCTAGAATTCGTTCGAAGTCGAAGAAATGGTAAGAGAAACAATGGAGAAACTATCACTTCGGATCGGATTTGAGCTGCGTATGTCACCAACATGTCTTTGAACCGGTCAAGCGGGTGCCAGGCAAGTCTGGGTGGTCCTTACGCTTTTTCGAGGTGACCTGGCATTTAGAAAAAACTATGATTTTGGGAGCGGCGGGAGCCAATCATTGCCTCTTTTTCAGGGTTGCAAGGAGATGAATATGACCAACATCTTCATGGAAGAAACCTTTTGTATCTTATAGGACCCACTAATATGTTCATTGATATCCGAGAAAAGTCACACTTCCATGATTGGAATGTCACGCGTTTGGATGCTCGACCTGGGAAGGTCTTTCTTTGGTCGTTGACACGAGAGGGCGCTTCAACACGGATGATGTTGGGTGGGGTTGAAGCAACTGTAGCTTCTTCTTCTTCTTCTTCTTCATGTGTGGAGATGGGAATGATGCCACTACCTTCAGAATCCTTCAGTTAGGATGTACCACTCTGAAACGTTACAAAGCCGTGTGAAAGCAGTACATTTGGGCAGAAGTGGACTCCTTGGTGTACCGCCTGCTTTATGATCTCTCCTTTCAATCACTCTGGGGACCCAAGGCTTACGCGTCGACCAAGCACAGATACATACAGATACTCACACGAACGTCGTGTTTTCAGATGCAATGGAGTTGGTCCACAGGGGGTCACACAGTCGATTGGGTTGGGTCTGAATCTCGAAGGGGTGACAAGCTCAACACATTGTCCGCTGGCAGCTGACACCTTTCTTTTAGCAAATGTGGAATCTTGAGGTGCGTGTGGCTTGCGCAAAGCAGACTTTGGGTGGCAAGGAATCTCACTGAAAATCCAAATTTTTGCATGACGTCACGCTTTGGGAGAAGACTGGTGCCGGCACAAGACCTAATTCAGTTTGCAATCGCTTTCAGGTGATCTTTGCTGGGTGTATCCCAGTGATGATCTCAGACAAATGGGAGCTCCCCTTTGAGGACTGCGACCATCGGCGGCTTCGTCCTCGTTTTCAGGGGCGATTCCGACCATTGGGACCTCACAGGGTCGCGACAAGTCTCCCCTTGGAGGACCAAAAGCGGATTGGACTGGGTGTGTGAAGATGATTGCGGAACTCTTGACAGACGTTTGTTTGGAGAGCAGCAACTGCAGTTTCTTTTTGAGACTTGCAAGTCGTTTTGTTCGCTTCGATTTGTATCATGTTTTGCTGCGCTTCTTCGTGTCTTCATGGTCAGCCTTTTTGGACGCAAAGGAGGACGGTATCCACTCGCGGTCTGAAGGAAGCGTACGCCATGGCCTTTTCCATGTTGGTGGCAACCATCGTTTCGGCGACCGCTGAGCCAGCCTTTTTCGATTCCAACGCCTTTGGATCTGGGCCTCTTGGATCATTGAGGTTTTTTGAGGTGATCCCAATGCTACACTCTGTTGCACTGTCTGAAAAGAATCACTGAAGTGGATGGTGAATTCCATATATAAAGATCGTATATAATTCTTTCAAGGAGTGCTTGCGACTTTACACACCCATACAGGTTTTCTGTGCGTTTTGTACTTTTGCTTGCTTCGGGCTGTTGTCGACATGTGCGGCCTTTGTGGCATAAAGCGGATGGAGACATGTCGTGGGGTCCAGCCCCAAAACGAGTCAACCATGTTGTTGAGAAAAGAAAGGGTTGCTCAACTGGTCTCTCACCCTGGACAAAATCACATCACTTTTCTGATGGTATTGGATCCATGTCCGCACATCCTCAAAATGTGGACTTCGGGTACTGTAGTGAGCAGTGAGTAGTGCCTGTGTCAAAAACTCGAAAACACCAAGCCAACTCTGTACGACTTCACCAGACGAACTCGCCGCCAGGCAGCTGAGAGGCCTCGGAAGCGACCCATTTGCAGATCCTGGAAGGCAGAACAAATGGCTCAAGGACAGCGCTTTCCGCATATTGACGTGTTCAAGGGATCGTTGTCATACACAACCTGAACTGAACCCTTGGTGCAAGGACATCAGCACCAGCACCAAGAATTACTTCAAGAAGGTTCTGGCTCCTCTCCAGAAGCCTATTGTGCAAGAGTACCAAGTGTTGACGATCCTGGATCAATACGCGAACTACACCATGGACAAGGCCTGCAATACAGGTTTTGCTGCTGCTGTTGCTGGATTTGCAGTCAAAGTTTGTTGTCCTTCAACTTGTTCAATTATTCTTACTGTATATAAAGGATACATGTTGTTCTGTGGAGCCCTGCAGGTACAGGAGATGCCCATCAAAATGATATGAGTTGAATACACATACACTGGAATCAACTTGTGCCCAACGGGCTCAGCTTGTTCTGTAAGGGCTCGTGTCAAACAGTCTTAGTTAGATGAACGATGGGCGTTTGGTAGGGGTTACTGTATCCAAAGGATAGTCAACAACAGATGTTAGAAGTGAGGACTTGTTTCCTTTTGCAGCACGTACAGTCAATTCTGCTCTCCAGGTTGAGAACGCCACAGGCTCCGACGTCATTTGGAATCGCACCAGTCGCTTCCTGCAGGAAGTGGCTCGGCTGCAACTGCGACTGATGCCTGATTTTGATCCCACTCACCATACTCACCATTCACTTAGGCCTGCTCCTCGCTCCAAAACTGGAAAAATATAACATGGGAAGCAGACCTCGCCTTTGACGAAGGAATCTCAAGACATAGAAGCCTTGAGGGAATCCAATTTCCATGTCGGAATTTAATGTCCATACTTTCATGTCCAGTTCATTCCAATTCCATTTCCATGTCCATACTTTCAGAAAGTATTTTGGCAAGGTATGGCTCCTAGGTCACTCGGGGTTGCTGCAAGCTGAGGTCGCTGAAGATCCAGACGAGTCCGCGGAACCCTCAGCCAAGGGGCGAGCGTTGTATTCCCGTCGACGACGAGGAAACCAAGACTTGCCTCCCAGAGCCCGGTATATCAACAAGATTCTCATCTACCTCAACCAGGAAATGGCTACTAGGCCTAACATGGCCTAACATTCTTAGGCGCTGAAGGTGCAATTGTGCATGCTGTGACCAGGCATGGAGCCAGGTGATGTCATGTTTTGTAGCTGCTTTACCGTACCTATTTCGAGGAAGGCCGCAAGGAGTACCCAGACCAACCGTCGTTGTTTCTGGGTTGCCAATCAGCTAAGGATTTGTTGTGGAACTACAACACGATTGTGGATCGCAAGCGCTGGGGTGTGGGCAACACCATCACCTCCTCTCCCTACGGCCCTCATGGTGAGCATCCTGAGCGCTGGAGGGCCAACGGCTCCTATCCCATGCCCAAAGCAGCACCCAACCACACGATCTTGCTTCAGGAGGATGACTCTAACCTCAGAACTTGCTGTCTTGCTTTGTGAATCAATTTGATCCGTGAAACGAGTTTCAACAGGGTACGAGGGCATCCGGGCATGTGATTTTGATCATATTCAGAGGATATGTCTTTGTTTAGGACGCCTTAAACAGGTTATGACCTGAAAGGCAGACACCCGTGGCACCAGCAGAAGGAATGCTGGCCATCTGGGTTCGTCTAATCCTTTCCAGTAACCCCACGGCAAAACCACCATGGTCAGACCTGCAACAGTTCACCTCCCACGCCACAAAGGAAGTGACGATTACAATTCGCGTGAAGGCGGATGAGAAGAAGTTTCCGGGCCAGGTGTAGCCGAGTCTGTGATATTTTAGACATTTTTAGACTATAGTTGTACAATGTTAGACAAATATTCAGATGCATGTTGGGTTGTCTTTTTTACTGTAATATTCTGATATCATATTCATCTGATATTTTTTTTAGTATTTGAGATGCTTTGTCAAACATAATTTGACATACTACCGCCGTTCAACCCCAGAAATCTTGTAAGCCAATGTGGTACCATCCTTCGTTGGGCCACGAGTCCGATCGAGTCCGACGATCAGATCGGCATCTGCCAGGGATTCTCCCGACATGACTGAGGTTCGAGAGGGTTAGAGGTTTTTCTGGCACATCAGAGGGGGGATGTTTGCAAGGTCTTTGAGGTTAGAGTTGTATGTGTTCTTTAGTAATAATTGTTGTTGTTGTTGTTGTTGTTGTTGTTGTTGTTGTTGTTGTTGTTGTTGTTGTTGTTGTTGTTGTTGTTGT